TGTGAATACCTTTAATTATAGTGTTAATATTTTGAACAACCTCAATGAAAAGTGCTGTCCACTGTGCTGAATGGTGGTCAGACCTTACATAATCTCTGTAATCTATAACCAACAAATATAAACACAGCCTTCGTAGTCATTTAATAAACTGATGAACTAAATGCCTTCAGGATATAACACTTTTTAGGGTGAAGCATTTAGGTTTTTAGGAACTGTGACCAACTTTACACCTGATTTATATATTCAATGTATCATCAAATTTAGATTATACATAAAAATCCATAGTTTCAGCTCTGTTTCTTAATTCCTACCAGGATGAGAGCCAAGAAAAAGTGAAATCCAGCTGTTGTACATCAGCAATTGTTGTTTTCTTCATCTAATATAAAAAAGCCTATTACAGTAACTGAAAGTTATTAAATCATCTATCTTCATTTCATCATTGCATCTTTCACAGTGGTTGTTTTCCTTAAAATAACCTATCAAAAAATTCTTTGTCATGTGTTCCTTATTGGGATCAGAGGACTAAGCTGCCTACATAACATGTTGTTGTCAGAACCGAACTTTGTCTATTCTCATTTAGGTGTAATTTTAGCAGTGGAAACTACACAGTGAGTACATAGTCATGGTAGATGGCTATTTTTTTTTTTTATTTAATGGTTTGCCCATAGCAAACCATTAAATACAAAAGCAGACTGATGTTAAACTGGAAAACCTACAGTAGAAGGGCCATAATAACTCAAATCTGTCTGCAGTACCCCATACACAATTGGGAAGCTTAAGAGAACTGAAGGGAAGGTGGAGATATGGCTGTTGTCTGACAATGTGAAAAGGAAATTAAACAAGGCTGAAACCAGACAGCAGACCTGGATCCCTCTAAAATGTAGCAAAACAAATCCAGCATAAACTTCATTAAAACATTTTTTTTTCCTCCAAAAATCTATTACATTATGTAGATAGATAAAAATTTAAAGAATTACTGCAACTTGTTTAACATGTTGTATTTTATTAGTTTAATTATACATTTTAATTGATCATAACAACACAACGGCAATTTGTGGCTTTGTATATATATATATATATATATATATATATATATATATATATATATATATATATATATATATATATATACAACAACAACAAATAAAATACCTTTGATAAATAAAAATAAATTCAATTGTATGAATGCATAATAAACGTTATCAAACATAATTAAATGAAATGAAAACTNTAACCATATAGAAGCTATTATACATTAAAACAAACACACAACAATTTTAACATCATGTCTTTTTCCTCAGTCAGATTCTCTTAGTTTCCTTCCTCCTCAGCCAGTACCCTTTCTCCACAGTTGGATCCCGTTAGTGTTCTTTCTTCACAGTCAGATCTTGTTACTTTTCTTTGGTCAGTCAGATCCTATTAGTGTTCTTTCTTCAATCAAGTCTTGTTAGTGTTTGTTTTCTTCAGAATCAGGTCCTCTTAGGCTACTTTCACACATCAGCCTGAAGTGACCCAAATCCGTTTTTTTGTCTCGCACATATGCAACCTGTGTCTGATCTTTTCATGACTGTCTGACAACACAGATCCGATTTGTTCCAACGCGACCCAGGCCACTTAGCTCTGTAGCCCTGAATCCAATATGAATCTGATATTTTCAAATGCAACCTGCGTTTGAACGGTCAGGTTGCATTAATCCGAGTTGAATGTCATCAGTACTCAACAAAGGTCCCTATTCTGCATCTTGCTATGCAGAAATGGGAAGAAAAAGCAACACCAATGTTCAACCCTGTTGAAAAAAACCCTCTTGTATTGATAATGGCTGAGGTGGAAAAGAAATAAAACATTGCAAGATGCGCTTTGGCACTACCACCCATGTTTACTTCCATAAACACAGAGCATGCTCGCTTGTGACGCCATTGCATCCTCTACTGCACATGTGAGACGCTCATGTTGTCTAAATGCAGTTCACACAGGAGAACACATACAAGTCGCATATATTTGGAAATGTGAACAACAGGGTAAAAGAATCGGATTTCACCAAAAAAATAGGAATTGAGCATTAAGAACTGTAGTGTGAACCTAGCCCAAGTGTTCTTCAGAGTCAGGTTCTCTTAGAGTTCCTTCTTTAGAGTCAGGTCCTTTTTGTGCTCTTTCTTCAGAGTCAGCCCCTCTGTGTGCGCTCTCACCACAGTCAGACCTTCTTAGTGCTCCCTCACCTCTTAGTATTCTTTCTTCTCCTCAGTCAAATCCTCATAGTGACCTCTCCCCAGAGACCACTGAGCCTGCTTTGTGCCATCCAGAGACTCCTGAGCCCCATGAAGGATCCTTCTTTCAAAAAGAGCTATGTGAGAGTTTCCTATTAAGGCCCCTCTGTGGATGCTCCTCGTATCCAAGGCCCCTTTGTGGGATCCTCTTCTCAGAAGCACCTCCGTGGGCACTCCTCATCTCCAAGGCCCCTCAGTGGGCACTACTCGTCCCCAAGCCTACTCAGTGGGCGCTGTCTCCCTGTTTGCAAGGCATTTCTCCATCTGCTCCACCTCTTTGTGGGTCTCCATCTGCTTCACCTCTTTGTGGGTCTCGAGCTGCACCGCCTCTTCATGGGTCTCAACGTGCTCCACCACTTCAGGGGTCTCAAGCTACACTGCTTCCTCATGGGTCTCAACCTGCACTGCCTCTTCGTGGGTCTCAAGCTGCACCGCCTCTTCGTGGGTTCCTGTGCTGCAATCAGCAGACCCCAATGCTCCTGCTTCTCAGAAGTTAGCTTCCAAGGCTTCTGCTGCTGAGATGCTGGCCTCCTAAGCCATCCTCAAGAGGTTATCCTTTGCCACTGGCCTCCAAAGGTCCTTCGCAGCTGTCCTCTCCAGGTTCCCCTTCACCGCTGGCCTCCAGAAGTTCTCCTTGGCCACAGGCCTCCAGAAGTCCTTCACCACCGTCCTCCCCAGCTTCCCCTTTACCGCTGGCCTCCAGAGGTCCTCCTTTGCCACCAGCCTTGAAAGGTCCTCCTTCATCCCCGTCCTCCAAAGACCCTTCCAGTTGGCTTCTACAGTGAATCTAACACAACTTTGAAAGCTGTTTTTCTCTCTAAGTTCTCTAAGTTCTGCCAATATAAATGGACATTTCTTCAATTCTATTTCAATATTAAAAACCTTGATATCATTGGAAAGCTTAGATTCCATTTTTCTTGATCTATAAGTAATTCAGAAGGACCCCAGGTAGACTTCCTGGTCTTGCCATGACCTGTTAAATTTTTATACTTGTTCAAACTGCTATGGATTAAGTTGTGTGACAGTCGCAGTGTTGAAATATTTTCCAACAGAAGCCTGGACATTAAAGGCTTGGACATTAAAGACGCATTCGCTTGCATGCAGATGGGATACAAGATGTACTTTTGAAAGATCAAAAAGATCTAGTTTTCTTGAAACATTTATAAATTATTGCTAATGCTTTATTCATTTGTTGTGTTCACAGATCAAGACTTCTTCAATGCCACATAAGAAGAATAACCACTACAAACATCAACCATGTCACTCTGCTTATGAGTGTAATTATTTTAACTAAAATCTTAGAAAGAAAATTATATGTCTCTTGACTCATAGTTTTGATGCATTTGTAGAATGTTTTTTTTATTATTATTTCTGGGACTAGGAAAGAAAGAATATTTCAAATTATGGTAATGAGTAAATTATGCTTTTTATTTATGAAAGTGCATGGCATTGTCACTAATATACAGTTTTGGATCTTTTATACCTTCACTGTGTTTTTATTTAGTATGTAACTTGTTTTTTAGACCTTTACACATACCTTTGTAACAACAAAATAATTAGAAGTAAAAAAGAATTAGACTCAAAGTATCATATTAAATACCTAGGGTAATAAACTGAGAAACAAATATGTAAAAGAAAGTACTTTTTAAGTCTTTTTCATGACCTAAAAACCAAAAAAAGAAAAACTCTTTAGACAAATAACAATTTATTACTTTTAAACATTATTTTATAGTACAGAAAGCAACAGGTGCTCTATCAAAAACAGCATTTTTTAAACACCAGAATATTTCACCTTACATAGGAAGGGGGAGGGAGTGGCAATAAAGGCAGTTTCCTTTCCTTTTTTGCTGTTGGTTCCTGACCTACTCTGTCCCACTGTGGGGCTTTAGTCTGGGAAGGGGTGGAGACAAAAAAACAGGGGAGAGGGGAGGAAAGTCAAAATGAAGTGGGACAGACCCCCTTCCACCACGATTACCACCCCTATACTCCCCCACTGCACACACACACATACAAATCCACATTTACATGTGCATACGCAATCACACACACACGGTTAAGTATGTGCATGCAACAAACTCTTCAAAGCCAACTGGTTTTAATAGACATCCAATTAGGCAAAGACATCTGGGGAGCTGCTGTTGCAGATAAATAGGGTGAAAGGAAGACAAGATTCAGTCACCTCTCTGAAACTTCTGAAGATCAGGGGAAAGCACCGATGATAGAGGCAGCAGCAAGGAGAGGTGGGGGCCTAAAGAGAGAGGGAGTCACACATTTGAAGAAAGAGGAGAGGCAACACACCACTCCTGCATTCAGACTCTGAGAGGCAAGAAGAGAGGAGAGACCGGGAGCTTAGCTCACTGACAGACGCATAACAAGAGAGGGAGAAAGACGAGACCCAGGAGGACTTGGTTACAATCTCAAGTAACTTCAAAACGAGCCCAAACAAAAAACACAGAAACAAAGGAGGAAAAGGAGTCAAGAAAAAGTCTGGATTTGGACAAAAAACTTGCCTTCATTTCTTGGAATTTTTTTTCTGGACATTTAAAGAGAAGCAACTTAGATCTTTTTTTTGTGGTTTTATTTATTACAAGAAAACTTTTCTGTTTAATCTCTTCCGCCTCCCTGCAGCACTGAACTTGAGGATATAAATGGACTTATTTTGTGAGGAAGGTTATAACAGATGATGAAATATATATATGTATTAATAAAGTCATAGTTTTGATCTATAAGGATTGGGAGAAGAAAGAACAAAGGGGAAAAAAAGCAAAAACTCTGCAGCAAAGTGTTTTTAGATACGGATATTAACATTTTGAGAGAAACAGTCAGCAAAGGGAAACAGCAACTGATTCAGCTGCAGCATCACCAGCAGTTACTTCATCTTTCAAGCAGCAGGACCTGTATAACTGTTGCTAAAAGCCCTGCTTTGACCCACTGCCATCAGACTGTTCTCACAACAGTTGTTCCACAGGTTTCAACACCTACGGTCCCAGTGAGATTGTGGGTTCCCAGACAGAGGAGTTCTAGTTGGTGGGTCAGGGGGGGGTTCTCCCACTCTCTTTCCCTCTCCCTGCACCCAGCTCAGCATGCCCCAGCCCCTGAACACATCCACAGCTCTCCCAGCTCCACTACCATGTGTAGATGGACAGTGACACAAGGTGCACAGGTCGCCTGGTTCTCCTCCTTTCCCTGCAGCAGACCTCCATCACGCTTCCTGCCTGTGAACTTTCTTCTTCTGCTCCTCTTGCTTGGACCCGCTGCTTCATCAACAGATTCTGAAAAGAGCCATGCACCAGAGGGGACTCTTAAGCCACCTTGCTGGGCGCTCCTGCGCGCATCCTCTGCAAGGTTGCCACGGGCGACTAACTTGTCGCTGTCATCTGCAACAGTTGTCGGGCGACATGTGCGAAGCAGCTACAAGCATCTACAAGGTGATGTGCGCAGGAGAAAGCTGTTCTCCTATCAGAAATTCTTCCTTCGCATCGGCAAGGATGGACACGTCAATGGCACCAAAAGAGAGGATGATCCATACAGTAAGTTAATATTATGATCTTTCTGGTGTTATGTTTTAAGCTTTCACAAGGTAAACAAAATAATAGTTTCTGTCAGTACTACTTCCGGGTAATTTATGAATAGATTTCTGTAAGAAGTCTTTAAGCACATAACTCCTACTTTTTTATATTGCTGGTAACCTAAAACGCAGCCCTCTTCTATTAAAAAGTTTTATCTAGAGAGAAGGAGGTTTCATTTTTTTCTTTTTTGGAGTGAGTGTGCACATTAAAACAGGTGATCGGCCAAAATAACTCATAACAGCACTACATGCCTCCAGCCCTTTTGCCATGTGGAAGAGGCAGAGCCTATTTGTCTTGCTACAAAGAGCTTGGGAAAATAAAGCTGGACAAAAAAAAAATAGAAGAAGGGAAGAAGAAAAAAAGAAGAAACTAAAACAAGTAAGCCAAGGAGATAAAGACAAAAAAAAAGAGTAGACAATTCACTGGAATCAATTATATATCGCCCAGAGAAAGTTCTTTGTCTTTGAGGGAAATATCTAAAACAGCTATTACCAAACCCCAAGAGGAGAATGACAAGTCCACTTACTTCTTGTTGCTATTGTGTTCCAGCTCTAACAGTCTTGGGCATATGCTAAGTTTGAGGTTTTCCTGACTTAGATGTAAATTCATCTATGCCTTTTTCTTAATTTTTTTAATTTTCCCGGCTATGAAATATGATTTAACCTTTAATTATCCCGAGACAGGTCACTGAGAACACATGATTATTTGTCAGTGCTACTAAACTTCACATTTGCACAGCTGTCCTTCTTCACACTTGCTCCAAAGTTTGTCTTGCACTGCCAAAATACTTCTCTGCCATTTTATCTGGAGGTTGTGGGAATTTATAACGGATAAATGGTGTCCAATCTGCACAACGACAAACCTAATTACTTTGAAACTTCAACTTGCAAGGCTTATCACAATTCGTTATGCCTGATCGAGAGCAGAAAATCAGCTGTTATCATTCTGTCCTCCAAAACTTTTATCTTGTAGTTAAACACATCTGGAAGTTCTCCAAGACTCCCAGAGATTTCTGGCCTCTGAATAGCTCGGACTAACTCCACGGCCTCAGGGCACACTGAAGGCAGTTGTTCAGAAAGAATAGGACATTGCTCTTAGACATACCTGCCCGATTTCCCTCCCAAGTTCACTAATTGTAGCGGACATATAATAACCATGGATAGTTTGTTTTTTTATTTCTATTCTACTAAATATGGTCTTTCTGCATTATGTATTACTTATATTTCTTAATCTGAGATGGCATTTTGAGTCTGTGTGTCAGTGGGAGTTATTCTAATTGGTGATAACTTATCAAAATTCTGTGGCTGATTTCCAGTCTCAACCTTTTCTGTCTTTAACAAGATTAATACAAAAAGTTCTGTACATGCATTATATCAGGAGAAGATACATCATGCTGCTGTGGGAGAGATTAGTCACACTATAAGAGAGTTTGACAAATCTGTTCAAAATTACACATTTAGGAGTGCTATCATACTGTTTTTAATGTTTAACATTAGCAGTTAGCATAGCTGGCAGGGCTTAAAATAACTAAATCTTCTGTTTACACATATTCCATTAAAAATTTAGATCAATATCTTACATTCTTTTATTTACCTATTATTATATCTGGGTTTTCTCATGATTGCACGATAAACATTGCAGTGATACAGTAATTATCTGACTTTGAGTCCTCTGAAAAAACGTCCAAGAAGAATAATTTGAGGACAGTTGGCTATGATCTTTACGTACAAGGAAGTTCATAGCGAGCTGGGTACCAATCGGGGCTGCTGAAACAGCCTATTTCTCTGTGCATCTCTCATTGTAGGGCCTTTATCTCGCTTACATATTCATGCATATGTCAGAGGTTGCCATACATCTACTTTTGGAGAGTTTTTATCTTGTGCTGGGTGTATACACACACAAACACATGCACACACACATACAGCTAAGCACAGAGAGGCCACTCTTGCACATGGCCTCCATATGGCAAAGCCCACTTTTATTAGGGCCAGTGTGAATATGTGTGTGCGTGTCTGTGTGTGCCACTCAGACACCAAGTTTTTGCCAGACATGGTTGAAGGAATTTCAATTAGCGTCTCTTGTTCCCTCCCCTTGCCTGCAGTGCTCTCTGACACACACGTGCACATGGGCGGTTTTACACACAGGGAGCTCAACCATTAGCTCTTTAAAGCCTAGACCATGAAATAATTGACAGACAATTCTTTTTTTTATTATTATTAGAGTTGTCATTGAACTTTCTGACAAAATTTTTATAAATTAAATTAGATCATTCATTTGCATCAATTAGGATACATTATGCATTTATTTATAAACTTTTATATCTTTTTTGTTCAGTACATGTGCCTGATTGTGTAAATCAGGTTTTTTTAAGAATAAAAAAATCACATTGAGGATTTAGAGGTCTCAAAAACTCATGTATCAAATGTGATACTCTAGGCTTTAAAGGGTTAAACCACAAAGTGTCACTAACCATAATAGAATTAACTCCCTGCATTAGAGAGCCTGCATCAGAGAATCAATCAGTCTGAAAGGCTGTCGCAGTTTATCATTCTGGCAAAATGGTAAGAGTAATTTGGTGGCAGAAAATCACATGCAAGTCTTCATTCTTGTGGATTCAGTCAAGTTTTTCTTCATTGGAAAGGTCTGCATATAAAGCAATCTGAATACTCCTTGTACTTTTTTACATGAGCTTTGAACAAATTGCACCCCTGAAAGTAAAGCAAACAGAGTGTAACTTAATTCTGCTTCTATGTGTTTGAACATAAATGTGGTTTTTCACTTTCCATGTTTCATGTTATTCACATGACCTCTCCTTCTTAGAAGTTTGCAAACCAACAGATTTTGACCACAGTTCTTTTTTTGTTTTTACATTTCAGATCATAACATTGTTCAAGTACACGGTGATGATTTTATAAGCTTATAGAAACCAAGCAACTGCTGCATACTGCATGAGAAAAAAACTCCTAGTATGATGTAGTTTTCTGAAGGGTATTCACCAGATACAAGTGGCTTATCTGTATTGATCCAGATTAGAGGAAGAGTCTTTAAGACACATTTTAGATTAATCAATCTTTTATTCTATTTTTATCATAAAAATAATTACAGTAGAGCTTCATGTTTTTTTCTGTATTGATGGAGGGGCTAAATGCACTGGTTTTTTACAGGTCCCCACTCCCCACCCAAGGAGACATGGCTTGGGGGGCACCATTAGCGCGCCAAAAAAAAGTCAGTTGCAGTTAGTTGCAGTCTAAGCATGCTTAATTGTCTATCTAATCAATGGAGAGAAGTGCCCACGGCAATATGTCAGTAGTCAAGTCAAATATGCCTTTGCACTCCGGCTGGTTAATGTTGCTAATATGGGTGAATTATCCACAGCATCCAAGTCTGTTTTCAATTAAAGGGCTAGTTTATGTTTTTAGTATTGAATCAGGTATGTATTTGGTTATTACTAGCTTGAATCTTCACAGGTATATGTTGATTCATATATGAAATTGATTTAGGAAATGATTAGTTGAATACTAAAAAGTTACTGTTTTTATCAAAATGCTGTTTGTTGGGAAAGCAGAGTCAAAGATATGCAGCAGAAGGGCTTATCCAGGGAGGCCTTCATGAAAAAAGTACTCTCTTCCACATGATTAAAAAATGAGACAGGCTGATCAAATTCATTGAACACATTTCTAAATTGAGCACATGTTCACGACATTGAAACAGCTTTTTATGGAAGCTGGCTTGCTATACGTCACTGGATCATATCAGGGATGATGAAGACATTTAACAGTGGTTGGGACTCCCTTATGCAGTCAAGCCATTCTGAACTTATCAACTTAGTTGCATTGAAGCACATAATTCAGGGTTAGTAAGGATAATGTGAAATGTGTTCTTTGCCGCTTACATGTTTTTTTGTTTACCCTCATTTGCTCCGTGCTCATCTATCCATCTCACCTCATAAGGCACTAGGAATGAGGCACTCTGGTCTCCATTTGGATGTCTTTAGGGCACGTCAGGATGTGATTAGCATTGATCCTGGCCCTGACCAAAAGGCAACAAAACTGTCCTTGTTCTCCTTTCTCTCTGTTGTGTACATTTCATTCACAGACAAACAGATAGAGCAATAAAACAGTTTATGGGCTTTTGAAGTTTGACCACAGTTTGACTTCACTGCAGCCACTCTGACAGTAAATATTTCCTCAACTGATTTGCACATGATAATGTGCATTCATTGGCATATTCCTTTTGAGTTGTAACTTTTTCAACCAGTGGTTTTTATGTTTTTGAAGTTTCACAATGCCAGTGAAACTGTTTCATGCATAAAAGACTAAAATTGAATTAAAATAGTTAAATAATATTTCATATAACATTGCTGCATAGTCAAAGATGCATTTTCGTGTGAATTTTGTATGCAAAGTTCCATTGTATTCATGATGCTCTTTGTTCAGTAAAGATCTCTAACCAACCTCTAAAGGTGTTCAGAGTACAACTAGGATTTTACTAAGATAAAATTACATATAAAGTGATTCCATGTTCTAAACAGTAGACTTTTCAGGGCAAAGGGCTGGACGAGTTACAATTTTTTTTTTTTATTGAAATATGTTTCATTTACTGCTCGCCTGCAACACAAAATTGAGTCAAAAAAAAAAAAACATGAATAAATAATTTTGTCATTGTATTTGAGAAAATGCATTTAAAGGTCCTTTAAAACCTGATGATCAAATGTTATAAAACTTGTCCAAAAGCAAGTTTCAAGCAGAACAAAATCTGTATTAAGATCTACACATGATTGCTTTTATTACATATCCTTACTATCCTTGAACTATCCTCAGTCTTCCTCTATGATTGAATGTCTCTTATTTTGCATTCTCGCTCTTGGTGCTGCGTCTCTTCTCCGAGGAGCATGTTTAGGGTTCTCATGGGAAAAGGTAACAGTGCGGCCCATAAAAGAGAGTTATGAGGTGGTGCTGGAT